AAGTTGAAAATCAATTAGGAATGAAACTTAAAACTTTAAGAAGTGATAGAGGTGGATAATACTTCTCCAATGAATTCAATTTGTTTTGTGAACAAAATGGTATAATACATCAATGCTACGTACCACGAACACCTGAACAAAATGATTTAGCTGAAATGAAGAATAAGACATTCTTAGAGATGATAAATGCCAGGTTATTGAATTCTGGATTACCATATAACTTATGGGGTCAAACCTTACTTACTGCTTGTCATATAATAAAGAGGATTCCTTTGAAGAAGAATAAGGTTTCTCCATATGAAATTTGGAAAGGTAGGAAACCAAATGTCAATTATTTTAAAATGTAGGAGTGTCTTGCTTACTATAAGAATATGGATTCTAAGAGAACTAAATTAGGTCCTAGAGGCATTAAATGTGCCTTTGTGGGATATTCTTTAAATAGCAAGGCCTATAGGTAATTAAACCTAGAAACAAATGTTATAATAGAATCAAGGGATATGAGGTTCTTTGAGAATGAATTGGCAACAAGAAATTCTCAAAATGAAACTTATGTAGACATTCCAACTTATAGAGAATCATAAGAAAATACATCTACAAGAGATGTTGAAAGTGAACCTCGAATAAGTGAGAGAGTTAGAAAAGAAAAAGGTTTAGGATCAGATGAATTGGATTCCCAACTTATTTCATTTACCTAGTAGAGGGAGATAGGAATGATGTTGCAAGAACAATTCATTTTGTTCTTCAAGTCGAAAGTGAACCTAAAACCTATAAGGAAGCAATGACGTCTAGAGATTGCATATTTTGGAAAGAAGCAATAAATAATGAGGTGGATTATATTATTTCAAACAACACTTGGGAAATAGTTAATTTACCAAATGGTTCTAAATCCATTGATTGTAAATGAGTGTTTAGAAGGAAATATAATTCTAATGGCAGACTCAATACCTATAAAACTAGATTAGTAGCTGAAGGGTATCGTCAAAAGGAAGGAATAGATTACTTTGACACGTATGCACCTGTGGCTAGAATAACTTCGATAAAGATCCTGTTTGCACTAGCATCTATATATGATTTACATGTTCATCAAATGGATGTCAAGACAACATTCTTAAATGGAGATCTAGAGGATGAGGTCTATATGGAACAACCAGAAAGGTTTGTTCTACCGGGAAATGAACATAATGTGTGCAAACTAATCAAATCCTTATATGGATTAAAACAATCTCCTAAAAAGTGGCACGAGAAACTTGACTTCAAAGTAATGTCAAATGGTTTTAATCACAATTCGGTAGACAAATGTCTATTTACTAAAGTTAGTGATAATATAATCTTTATAATATGTCTATATGTTGATGATATGTTGATCATTAGCAACAATATAGACGGTATCAAAGAAACGAAGAGGTTTTTATCCTCCATGTTCAAAATGAAAGATCTTGGACAAGTGGATACTATCCTTGGTATCAAAATAAAAAAAATAGTGTGGGTTTTACATTGAATCAATCACATTATGTTGAGAATGTGATAAACAAGTTCAAACATTTGAACATTAAAAAAACTAATACCTCGTTTGATCCAAGTATCAAATTGATAAAGAATGATGGAAGAGCAATAGCTCAAATAGAAT